GTTCCTATGGCTAACCTGTGTCTGTGTGTTTGTGTGCGTGTGGTCTGTGGCTTGTCTGTATGCGTGTGTGTATACAACCTGTAACTGGTGTGTGTGTGTCAAAAAGAGGTCTGTGGCTGGTTTGTGTTTGGTTGGTGTGTGTGTGTGTGGTCTCTGTGTGTGAGGTCTGTGGCTTGCTTCCATGTATGTGTTCCGTGGCTGATCCGTGTGTGTATGTGTTGTCTGTTATAATCTCCGTGTGAGTATATGTGTGTATGTGTGTGTGTGTGCCAGTAGGTTTTGTCAGGGTCTCTCTCTGCCAGTGTGTTTATGAATGTCCCACTGTGGCCTGTCCGTGCCTCTCCGCACTGGGTGTGACTGTCTGGCCAGACCATGTCTGTGAATGTGTCAGTCTGTCTGCCCAAATCTGCCCAATCTGTTGACAGGTCCCACATGTGTGTGATCCTGATGAGATGGTGTGTACGTCTAAGGCTTCAGCTTGGTGTCCCTGGAAGCATCTCTGATGTGTGTGCAACAGTGGTGGGGCAGGGTGCCAGGGACTCTGCCACACTGTGAACACATCTTCTCTGTCGCTAGGTTTGTCTCTCTTGTCTCTTCTGAGTTGGAGATCTGGGGCATGTGTGTGTTGCCTTATGTGTCGGGATCTGATAGTGCATGCCTGTGTCTGCTTGTCTCTCATGTGGCTCCCAGGGTGCTGGTGCCAAAGGTGACTGTCTCTCCTATCAGCATGCACGTGTTGCCTGCCTGTCTCACCAACAGTTCTGTGTGTCTGTCTTACCCGTTTCTAGCCTGTCACATTTGTCTCCATGTGTGTGACATGCCACTGTGTCTGCTTTGCTGTGCGCCTCTCACCTGAGTGTCAGTCTCTGTGTTTGTCTATCACGCTTATGTCCTGGGTTGATTTATCCCTGCTGCACACAGCTTGCCTACATATTCTTGACCTGTGGATGCGTTCGTGTGTTTGACAGTGTGCATCTCTTGCTTTAGGGTTGGTCTGTCACTGCGTCTGTGTGTGGCAGTCATTGCTGGCTCATATTGCCCAGCTGTATGTCTGACCCTGTCTGTGTGTCCCTGGCTGGCAGTCTCTCTGTGGCCAAGGTGACAGGGGTTTATATGTCTGGACTGGCTCTCTTGGGGTGACTGTGTGTGTGTACATTCCTACAGCCCCCCGCCCACCCCGTCTGGTCACCCTGGGCCATGTTTACTCTGCCCCCAGCCGATGTCTGCCCTGCCCCGGGAGGGGCTGACCCTCCTCAGTCTGTCCAGCCAGCAGTCCACAGGATGTTCCCGAGACACAGTCTCCATCCGACGTCCCCTCCCTCGGGCCACCCGCGGGTCAGGACCCAGGCGTCCAGGGTGGCGGGGGTGGGGCTGCAGCGTGGGGGGGCCCTGTCAGGGCACTGGAATGAGGGTGGGGGGTGGGGAGGTGACGGGCCCAACAGGTTGTGCCTCATTCCTGCCCCGCCTCTCACTTCCTGGGTGCCTGCCTCGGGCAGGGGGTGGACAAGATGAACCCCATGCCCTTAGAGTGCCTGGGTGGGGCATGGCCTGGCCGGAAAGGACTGGCTTCTGCTGGGCACCCTGACACCCAGGCCTGAGAGAAAGGAGGAGCCCTCTCCTGGCTCCTGTGCCCAACCCTGGCTGCAGAGTGTTCCATCTATTATTCACCTAATCCCCACAACAACCCAATAAGCTGAACACAATGATCCCCCATTTTCAGATGGGGAAACTGAGGTCCAGGCAGCAATGAAGCCAGAGACAGGATTTGAACCCAGCTCTATATGCTATCCAAGACCCCCAGCTAGCTCACCAAGTGCCTTCCTCCCCTCTCTAAAAATGGCACATGTGAGGTGGAGTATGCACTCAGGCCCCCAGGAGGCCAGGCTCGAGGGGGGCGCCGGCAAGCTCTGAGTCAAAATGGGCCCCTGGATGAAATGAATAAGAAAACGGCTTTAACCGTTTCATCGCCGCGACAGGCTCTGCCAAAACTTCCTGTGGGCTGGGAGGAGGGGTTGGGGGCTGGGTTCCCGGAGGTTTGCAGGGGTGGGGGTGGGGGGGGTCTACCAATTAATTCGGGGGCGGGGTGAGGTGGAGAGCCTCTGGCCTACTAAGGGGAGTCGCTGCCCGGCGGATGCTCGCTGGTGGGGGACGTCTTCCCTGCGGAAAGCGAAGTCCCCAGAACTTGGTTGTCGGCCCCACAGTCTGGAGGGGTCCCAGACTCCGCAGCCCCTTCCCCAGGGGCCTGAGTCACAGACGGGGAAAGCCGGGAGGGGTGAGTCACGGGGCCGGAGAAGCGGGAGCGTGGCCAGCTGCGGTCAGGGGACCCCCGAGCTGGCCTGAGTCACGCACGCCCGGGCCATGCTGACCCCAGCCCCCTTCTGAGATCACGAGCGGGAAGCGCATTGTCGATGGACTAGGCAGCTGGAGGAAAAGCAGGATGGCGGGGCGGGGAGAGGAAGCACGCGCCAGGCCGCGCGGGAAGCGCTGGTTCCCATGGCAACTTGGGGGGGTCTCAGCTCCAAGGGAAGGGTCCCTCCCCCAACAGGGACTGCCCTCCCGCCAGACGCAGGGGAAGCCCCCGCGCGCTCGGTCGAGGGGCCACAAGTTTCGGATCGGGCAGGAAGGGGTTAACGGCGGCCCCCTCCCGGGTTTCACCGGCGCCCCAAGGTCCTGGCCTGGGCGGGGCTGGTCCTGATCCGCGTGTCTCCGCGCGCCCAGCCCCCGCCACCGCCCACGCGCGCGCACACCCAGTCAGCGCCCAGCTCCTACCCTCCCTCCCCTAGCGCTCGCACGCACGACCGCGTCGTGTTCCACGCACGCAGCGACCCCCGTCGTGTCTCACGTCACGCACGACGCACGCGCCCACGCAGCGCGGGGAGGGGGCCCTCCTGGAGGAGAGCGGCTGGGCGGTACGCGGGGCCCCTTGCGCACTTCACTGCCTACGCGCAGCCTGCTGTCCTTTGTGACTTTGACTCCCACTTCCCGCTCTCCACACGCAAGGTCACAAACAAACTTCCCGACCCACAGTGTCACTCGGACGCAGGATACACCTGCCACATTTTGGCACCAACCCTCTCTAGTCCAGCCAGCCTCGCAGCGAACTCGGACACACGTGGATGGATACGCAGATAGTCACGCAGTCACGTCAGTCACATAGCGCTTGTGATAGGGACGCAAACAGAGCCATATTCATACACAGGTAGGTGGCACATATATCCTGATAAAGCAACCCCATCTAGCCAAAGTAGAACGGGTGCAGTGGCTCAGGCCTGTATTCTCAGCACTTGGGGAGCCAAGGCCAGAGAGGATCGCTTGAGGCCAGGAGTTCAAGACCAGCCTGGGCAATATAGCCAGACCCCTGTCTCTACAAAAAAAGTTTTTTCTTAATTAGCTGGACATGGTGGTGCATGCCTGCAGCCCTGCCTATAGTCCCAGGTATGTGGGGGTTGAGGTGAGAGGATCGCTTGAGGCCAGGAGTTCAAGGCTGCAGTGAGTCTTGATTGTACCACTGCACTCCAGCCTGGGCAACAGAGGAGACCCTGTCTCAAAAATGAAAAAACAAAAACAGGCAGGGAGAAAGTCTTGGACACCAGGGCTTAGTTTGTTACACTGCCACACCTCTCCCATGAAGATTATGGTGGTACAGAGATACAGATACGGACACAGGACGGTCATGCCATCACCTGACCCCTGTTATCACAAATAGGAGGCACAGAATAGGATATAGTCACAAAGACAAGGCCACGTACAGGGACACTCAGAATGTCACGTGGACATGGATAAACCAAGGACACTCATGACAGGGTCACATCTCAGACTACGAAGACAAAAGTAGGACATGGTCACAGACACATTAGGTAAAGCCATGTTAAGGCACTGATTCTCATGCCTTCACTTCTCACACAAAGAATGACACAGATACAAGCTGGGCGCGGTGGCTAACGTCTGTAATCCTAGCACTTTGGGAGGCTGAGGCAGGTGGATCACGAGGTCAGGGGTTCAAGACCAGCCTGACCAACATGGTGAAACCTGGTCTCTACTTAAAAATACAAAAGTGGGCCGGGCGCGGTGGCTCACGCCTGTAATCCCAGCACTTTGGGAGGCCGACGCGGGTGGATCACGAGGTCAACATAGTGAAACCCGGTCTCTACTACTAAAAATACAAAAAATCAGCTGGGCATGGTGGCGCGTGCCTGTAATCCCAGCTACTCAGGAGGCTGAGGCAGGAGAATTGCTTGAACCCAGGAGGCGGAGGTTGCGGTGAGCCGAGATCGCGCCATTGCACTCCAGCCTGGGCAACAAGAGCGAAACTCCGTCTCAAAAAAAAAAAAAAAAAAAAAATGGTGCACACCTGTAATCCCAGCTACTTGGGAGGCTGAGGCAGGAGAATTGCTTGAACCCGGGAGGCGGAGGTTTCAGTGAGCCGAGAGTGTGCTGTCCGTTGCACTCCAGTCTAAGCCAGTCTAAGCGACAGAGCGAGACTCCATCTCAAAAAAAAAAAAAAAAAAAAAAAAAATGACAGAGATATAGACCCAAAGTGAGGTCCCATATAGACATATATAGTAGACACAGACAAGAAACACGTGAAGATTCTAACTCTGCTGGGACCATGCAGAGATACACAGGTGCACACACTAGAGGCTCCCTAGTCACCCCAAATCTGGATGGTTTCTTTTTTTTTTTTTTAGGTGGGTGCATACCCCTGAAATTTTTTTTTTTTTTTTTTTTTTTTTGAGACAGAGTTTCCCTCTTGTTGCCCAGGCTGGAGTGCAAATGTCATGATCTCGGCTCACCGCAACCTCTACCTCCCAGGTTCAAGCTATTCTCCTGCCTCAGCCTTCTGAGTAGCTGGAATTACAGGCTTGCGCCACCACACCCAACTAATTTTGTATTTTTAGTAGAGACAACGTTTCTCCGTGTTGGTCAGGCTGGTCTTGAACTCTTGACCTCAGGTGATCCGCCTGCCTCAGCCTCCCAAAGTGCTGGGATTACAGGTATGAGCCACTGCACCTGGACCCCTGGATGTTACAGACAAGGATGTTAGAGATTCCCCCCTCCTCCAGTCCCTGAAAGCAACCCCCACCATGAAATCACACACAGCCTGTTGCACAAACTCCAAGGCCTTATGACACAATGGATGCAGGACACATGCCCACGTCACACAGTCACAGACCCACCATCTCACACCTACAAACTCCAGCACATTTGGCCAGGCACGGACACGCCTGTAATCCCAACACTTTAGGAGGCGGAAGCAGGAGGATTGCAGTCCAGAAAGTCGAGACCATCCTGGGCAACATAGCAAAACCCCTTCTCTCCCCCTCCCAAAAAAAAAAAAAAACAAAACCAGCATATTTCACATGGACTGAGACACACACAGACATATGCAGTGGGGGACTGGCTAGGAGTTCCTGGCAGGATGTCAATATCAGGGCCGTAAGGGGGCCTGCCAGAGTCCTCCATGGTAATGATGTGTGGAGTACACCCAGTGGCTGTGGTCAGCCAGGGGAGTGGCAGAGGGGCACTGTTCTCCAGTTGTGGGACTGAGGGTCCCCTTTTCAGCCCTGGTGAAGACTGGGTCCCTGCCCAGATGTGAAGGCTGGAGGGGGCAGGCCGGGGTCCAGCTGTGGCCACAGGGAGGGGTTGAGTCAGCCGCTTCCCAGCAGTACAACTCAGGCTGGGCCCAGCTGTTCCTGGAAACCAATAGGAGGGGGTGAGGTCCCCAATCCAGCTGATTGCTGCTGGCCCAGACCTGCACACCAGGGCTCTATGTCCCTACAAATGGAGGCCTTCAGACCATCCCCCAAAACGCTGGGGTTCTCTTTACTTAAAACAGGGGTTTGCATCCTTCTTCCAAAATGTGGAAGATTTTCAGCCCTTCTTGCTGAATTAAAGGTGCCTGGATCTCCTCACAGTGGGGCTCCCTGTATTTCAAAACAGGAATTCCTGCTCTCTTCCCTGCCAACATAGAAGCTCACTGCTTTTCCCCAGACTTGGGATTCCCTGACCCCAAAATAGAGGGTTGTGCTCCTCCAGAAACTGAGCACACCCAGACCTTTCCTTAAATCTGGGGACTGCTGGCTCCCGGAACATCTGGGATGCCCACAACATCATGCCAACATTAGGACAATTTAAGTCAATTTCCCTAAATATTTGAATTTCCAGATTTCCCCTAAACGTCAAAATCCCTGCGACCTTCGTCCTAATGTGGTGATCTCAGCAGGTCCAGCCACCCATGCTTCTAACAGCTGTGGTTCCTGGCTCACCTCCCACTGCTACCTGGGAACCGGGTGGCCCTGTCTCCCTGTATTGGCAGCACCCTCTCCTCTGGTGAATGCGAGATGGAGCCAACGGCAGCTGTTCCCACGACTGCCGGAAGACAGCCCAGTCCGGAAGCCAGTGCTGCAGGCCCTTGTCCCCTTCCCCCACTATCCTCCCCAACCGCTCCCAGGGGCTGGAGTCTGGAAAACAACGCGGGAGGAGGTTGTGGGGTTGTGGACGAGCATCCGAGGCCTGGTGCGTACGGCTGCGCATGAGTGGGCTGTAATCGGGTGTCTGGGGGGTGAGTGCGTTCGTGAGATGCGCGCGGGGAGCAGCTGTCACTTTGCCTACCCAGCTCCAGGGCAAGGTCGTTGGCGCCAGGATCTTCTGGGTGGATGGGAGCAGCGCCCCTCCCCTTTGATCTGGGCCCGCCCCCAATGCAAAGCCCGTCCCTCCCTCCGGGTACAGCTAATAACCTCTAATTAGCGCACATTGCCCAGCCCGCCTACGGGGGAGGGGTTGCCGAGGGACCCTGGGGTCATAGTGCGCGAGCCTGGGCTTCACCCTTCCCCTCAAAACCGGGTCCACTCGGAACCTCTGTTTTCTCGCCGGCAAAGCAGGGAATTAAAACAGCACTTGCCATCTAGATACAAGGGGAGGATTCAATAGTCTACGTATTTAAATCTGTTAGCGCAGGGACTGCGTATACAGTAAGCACTCCATACATGGTGACTGCAATTTTATTGTTAACTATAATTGGTATCACTTTCCATTGAGTCCCCTCCACCCCTCCACCGCCCCTGCAGGGGTCTCACCGCTGGCGCAAAGTCTTCACCCTAGGCCGCGTTCTGCGGTGGCCGCGCCCCCTGGTGGGGGTAGGCTAACCGGCAGCTTCAGCGAAATCGTGAGTTCTGAGGTTGGGGGGATACCCGGCGCGCATCTAGGTAGGGGAAGGCGGATCCAGGCTGGGCAAGGATGCCTGTCCATCAGCCAGGACACATGTCTAGCTGACTTCCTGCCCTCGACCTAGGACCACAACCGTGTCCCCTTTTCTTCTCCTGGGGTCAAGAATGCGGGGAGGATCCCTTTATTTTTTGAGACAGGGTCTCCCCTTGACGTCCAGGCTGGAGTGCAGTGGCGCGACCACAGCTCACTGCAGCGTTACCTCGCGGGCTGAAGGGATCCTCCTACCTTAGCCTCTGGAGTAGCAGGAAATAGCCATGTGCCACCCCGCCCAGCTACTTTTTTTTTTATTTTTGTAGAGAGGGAGTCTTGCTGTGTTTCGAGGGCTGTTCTCGAACTCCTGGGTTCAAGCAATCCTCCCTCCTCGACTTCCCAGAAGTGCTGGGATTACAGATGTGAGCCATTGCGCCCGGCCTATTTTAAAGTTTTTATTTTTTCGTTTTTAGAGACGAGGTTTCACCGTTTCAGCCAGGATGGTCTCGATCTCCTGCCCTTGTGATCCCCCTGCCTTGGCCTCCCCAAGTGCTGGGATTACAGGCGTGAGCCACCGCGCCCGGTCTAAAATTTTTTTTTTTTTTTGAGATGGAGTTTCGCTCTTGTTACCCAGGCTGGAGTGCAATGGAGCGATCTCGGCTGACCACAACCTCCGTCTCCTGGGTTCAGGCAATTCTCCTGCCTCAGCCTCCTGAGTAGCTGGGATTACAGGCACGCGCCACCATGCCCAGCTAATTTTTTGTATTTTTAGTAGAGACGGGGTTTCACCATGTTGACCAGGATGGTCTCGATCTCTTGACCTCGTGATCCACCCGCCTCGGCCTTCCAAAGTGCTGGGATTACAGGCTTGAGCCACCGCGCCCGGCCCTAAAAATTTTTAGTTATTTTTTTGAGACAGCGTCTCTCTCTGTCGCCCACGCTGGGGTGCAGTGGCCCTATCACGGCTCAAGCCATCCTTCCATGTCAGCTTCTGTAGTAGCTAGGATCACAGAAACGCCACCATGCCCGGCTATTTTTTTTTTTTTTTTTTTTAAGCACAGCCGGGATTTCTGTATTTTGGCCAGGCCGGTGTCGAACTCCTGACCTTGACCTCGTGATCCGCCCACCTCGGCCTCCCAAAGTGCTAGGCGTGAGCCTCCGTGCCTGGCCTACATGGCTAATTTTTAATTTTTTTGAAGAGACGAGGGCTCTCCATGTTGTGCAGGCTGGTCTCGAACTTCTGGCCAAACTAATTCTCCTTCCTAGGCCTCCCGAAGTACTGACAGTATCCCCTCTCCGAATCCGTAGAAAGTGCCAGGGCTCAGGCCGGGCGCGGTGGCTCAAGCCTGTAATCCCAGCACTTTGGGAGGCCGAGGCGGGTGGATCACGAGGTCAAGAGATCGAGACCATCCTGGTCAACACGGTGAAACCCCGTCTCTACTAAAAATACAAAAAATTAGCTGGGCATGGTGGCGCGTGCCTGTAATCCCAGCTACTCAGGAGGCTGAGGCAGGAGAATTGCCTGAACCCAGGAGGCGGAGGTTGCGGTGAGCTGAGATCGCGCCATTGCACTCCAGCCTGGGTAACAAGAGCGAAACTCCGTCTCAAAAAAAAAAGAAAGTGCCAGGGCTCGCCCCCCGCCCCCCCCGCCCCCTCACACAGATAAAGACTCCGATCATAAAATGGTTAGACACATGAATTTATTTCAGTTGCAGGGAAACGACGTGACTGCACTTGTGTAACAGGGTGGAGCACCTCCGCCTCAAAAGGATCTCGAGGACCTCCTCACTCCAAAAAGGGCCAGAGGGAGGAAGGGAGGTGGGACCACCGGCAGATGCACAAGGCTGGGCCAGGCTGACCCCTAGCGGCAGGGCGGGCGCACGAAGGTTGCCCGGATCCAAGATGGCGGGGCTGGAGGCACGAGCGGGCGTGGGAGGTGATTACGTTAGCGAGGCGGAGCCTGCGTTGGGGGCGGGGCGGGGCCTGCGCTAGGGGGCGGGGCGGGGCGGCGCTCTAGGCCGAGCGGGAGGTCGGGGCTGCGGGCGCTCGCTGGTGGCGGACCCGGAGGCGGCTGCGGCGCCGGGGCTCTGTGGCCGGGGTCGAATCCGATCGGGAGCCATGAGCGTGGACAAGGCCGAGCTATGCGGGTCTCTGCTCACCTGGGTAGGTCGTGGGGCGGGGCTGGGGGAAGGTGAGAGCCCGCTCGTCTTGCCTGGGATCCTGGCCCTGGTTCGGTCAGCCCCTTGGTGCTGGGGCTGGGAGGTGCAGGGGTCGTCGGCTTGCTGGACCGTTGGACTCTGGCCCGAGCACCCGCCCTCCTCACGTGGCAAGTCTGCGTGGAAAGGACAGGTGAGGCCCCGCCCCTCTGTGTCTGGTTCTAGTGGGGCGAGGGCACAGGTGAATCGGCCTGGTCACGTGGCGCCTGTAGGGTCCAGGTAACTCGTGATACCGCCCTGGCCTGGACGCGCATGGTTTGTTGGGCAGAGGTGAAGTGAGGCCACGCCCCCTCTGGTCTCAGGTGAGCAGAAGCCACTCCCTCGCAGAGCTGCTGTGGCGGAGCAACACCGGCTCCACCACGTGGGGTTTGCTGGCTGGAAAAGTCTGCAAAAGCGGAGTGGTTCAGCACTCCGAGCCCTAACTCTCCCTTTCCTTTACCCTTCAGTTACAGACTTTCCACGTTCCATCTCCCTGTGCCAGCCCACAGGACCTGAGCAGCGGCCTTGCCATAGCCTATGCGCTGAACCAGATGTGAGTGGAGCTGAGGGGGAGGATCCCAAAAGTGTCCCCCAGCCTGCTTATTCCACCTTCTTGCCCCCAGAGACCCATCCTGGTTCAACGAGGCATGGCTCCAGGGCATCTCAGAAGATCCAGGTCCCAACTGGAAGCTGAAGGTGACAGGTGGACTCATGACTAGAGGACAGACTGGTGAACAGATGACCAGGGATGGGCCAGCTAGGCACATGTCCTGGGTGATGGCAGGAAGAGGGACAGATGTCTAGTGATCAACCAACTATTTGTTCATCCATGCATGTATTGAGCATTCACCCTGTGCCAGCCTTGGGCATTCAGCAAGGAATAACACAGACAAACCTGCTGCACACAGCCATCATTCTAGTTACAAGAGACACATACACAACCATAAAAATTAACTTCCAGGCTAGGTGCAGTGGCTCATGTCTATAATCCCAGCATTTTGAGAGGCTGAGGTGGGTGGATCACTTGGGGCCAGGAGTTAAAGACAGCCTGGCCAAAAATGCAAAAATTAGCCAGGTATGGTGGTGCACACCTGTAATCCCAGTTTCTTGGGAGGCTGAGAGATGAGAATCGCCTGAACCCAGGAGGTGGAGGTTGCAGTGAGCCGAGATTGAGCCATTGCACTCCAACCTGGGCAACGGAGCAAGACTGTCTCAAAGAAAAAAGAAAAAAAAATCCACACTTTAGATGCCAATAGTTCTATGAAGACAATAAAAAAGCAGGGCCTTAAGAGAGAGCAGTGAAAGCATGGGTGGATGATTATGTCAGATGGGTTAATCTCCAAGTGAGATTTGGGGGAACAGTGTTCCAGGCACAGGGAATAGCAGATGCAAAGGCTCTGAGTTGGGAACAAACTTGGTGTGATGGAGGAATGGCAGAGAGGGTAGAACAGAGAGGAAGACGGCAAGATTTGCACAACATGAGGTCATCAGGGGCCTGGCAGGCCACAGTAGGGATGTGGATTCTATTTTTAAGTGCTGTGGAAAGTCAAGGCAGGGTTTTAGCAGAGCAAAGATGCAACCTGGCTTGGGCTTTATAAGGCTCCCCCTGGCTGTGTGGAGAGGAATAAAATGTAGGCAGCAAAGGTGGAAGAGGAGAGGCAGCTGGTGCATGAATCCAGGTGAGAGGTGAGAATAGATGGCTAGGGCTGAAGGATGGTGGGACAGGTGGTGAGATGTGACTTGGTTTTGGGGACATATTTAGAAAGATTGTCACAGTGGCTCATGCCTGTAGTTCCGGCATTTTTGGAGGCTGAGGTGGGAGGATTGCTTGAGCTCAAGAGTTTGAGACCAGCCTGGGCTACATAGCAATACCTTCTCTCTACAAATAAAAAAAAGTAGTTAGGTGTGGTGGCATATGCCTGTAGTTCCAGCTACTGTGGAGGCAGAGACAGGAGGATTGCTTGAGCCCAGAAGATCGAGGCTGCAGTGAGCTAAGATGGCACCACTGGCCAGCTGTGGTGGGTCACACCTTAATCCCAGCACTTTGGGAGGCTGAGGTGGATGGATCACCTGAGGTTGGGAATTCAAGACCAGCCTGACCAACATGGAGAAACCCCGTCTCTACTAAAAATATAAAAATTAGCCAGGCATGGTGGCGCATGCCTGTAATCCCAGCTTCTCAGGAGGCTGAGGCAGGAGAAACCCTTGAACCCGGGAGGCAGAGGTTGCAGTGAGCCAAGATGGTACCATTGCACTCCAGCCTGGGCAACAAGAGTGAAACTCCATCTCAAAAAAAAAAAAAAAAAAGTTCGTTGCGGTGGCACACTTTGAGAGTCTGAGGCGGACAGATCACGAGGTCAGGAGATCCTGCCCAACATGGTGAAACCCTGTTTCTACTAAAAATGCAAAAATTATCTGGGCGTGGTGGCATGCACCTGTAGTCTCAGTTACTCAGGAGGCTGAGGTAGGAGAATCACTTGAACCCAGGAGGCAGAGGCTACAGTGAGCCGAGATCATGCCATTGCACTCCAGCCTGGGTGACAGAGTGAGACTCTGTCTCAAAAAAATAAATAAATAAATTGCAGCACTGCACTCCAGCCTGGGTGACAGAGCAAGATTGTGTCTCAAAAAACTAAAGCAAAAAACTAAACAAACAACACCTCGAAACAAAACAAAGGTGGACAGGCAGACAAAAGGGCAGAAAGCCAGGCAGGTCACCGCTAGAGGAAGGCACATGCATGCAGAACAGGATGAGATGAGCAGGGAATGAGAAATGAGGTGAACAAAGGGTTGGGATGTACAGATTCAGAGTGGGAGTCCTCCAAACTTGTCCATAGCTCCTTGCTCCTCCCTAGGTCAGCAATCTGAAGACCGTCTTACGGAGCCTGGTAGAGTACTCCCAGGATGTGAGTAACTGCAAAAGGATTTAGGGGGTTGAGTTGGGAGAAGGGTGGTTCCATGAGCCCCTGACACCCCCTTCTCCCCAGGTCCTGGCACATCCTGTGTCAGAAGAGCACCTCCCAGATGTGGGCCTCATTGGCGAGTTCTCAGACCCGGCAGAGCTCGGCAAACTGCTTCAGCTGGTGCTGGGCTGTGCCATCAGTTGTGAGAAAAAGCAGGGTATGGGGAGCTTAGGGGGTCCCCAGGGGCTGGCCTGAGGAAATCCTCCTTCCTCCCCACCCGACCCCTGGGTCTCAGCCTCCCCCACCTTGATCTCTAGAGCATATCCAGAGAATCATGACGCTGGAAGAATCGGTTCAGCATGTGGTGATGGAAGCCATCCAGGAGGTGGGTGGAGGCGCTCAGTGTGGCAATTGGAAAATGTCAGGGGAGGGGACATCTCTAGGGCAGAGGCAACTGGGCACAGGCCCTTCCCTGGTAAGGTCTAGACTGCCTGGGACTCAGCTGGCCAGACATCTCTGTCTCATGTGTCTGCCAGCTTCTCCCTGCTCTAAGTCACAATCCAGGAGGCTCAAGGGATCTGGCTTCTTTCTGCACTGGAGGCAGGAGGGCAGCCACTGGGCTGGGGTTATTGGGCAGAAGTGGCCTTGATGACGGGAGGAAGGAGAGGTTCTCAGGTTGGATATTAGATGCCATGAAGGCTGCCCTCAGATATCCAGTTCATCACAGTGCCCCTTCCCACTCCCCAGCTCATGACCAAAGATACTCCTGACTCCCTGTCACCAGAGACATATGGCAACTTTGATAGCCAGGTAAGAATTTGGGGGAAAGGTGTTCCAGGCACAGGGAACAGCACATACAAAGGCCCAGAGCTGGGAATAGGTTTGCTATGATTAACCTTATGACTTAACCTTGTTAAAGGTGCAGACCCCATACACATGCTCAGGGCTGCCTAAGGGGGAGGACTTGTCCTTAGGCCTGTAGGCCACGCCCATCTTTCAGGGTGCTAGTGACTTCTTGTGCTAGGTCTTCAGGGTTGTGGAATCAATCTTCCTTCCCAGCCCTGTTTTTCTTTTCTTTTTTTCTTTTTTTTTTTTTGAGACGGAGTCTTCACTTTGTTACCCAGGCTGGAGTACAGTGGCACCATCTCTGCTCACTGCAACCTCCACCTCCCAGGTTCAAGTGATTCTCCTGCCTCAGCCTCCCGAGTAGCCGGGACTACAGGCGTGCATCACAACGCCCCGCTAATTTTTGTATTTTTAGTAGAGATGGGGTTCCCCATGTTGGCCAGGCTGGTCTGGAACTCCTAATCTCAGGTATCCCACCTGTGTCAACCTCCCAGAATGCTGGGATTACAGGCGTGAGCCACCGCACCTAGCATCAGGCCTCTTTTCGATCCTGAGGGTTTCTTGGCCTCCTCCAGTCAACCCCTAGAGATCTCAGCCTACCCCCACCCCATCCTTCTCCTGGATCCCTGAGTTCCACTTCCCCTCATCTTCCTAGTCCCGTAGGTACTATTTCCTAAGTGAGGAGGCTGAGGAGGGGGATGAGCTACAGCAACGCTGTCTGGACCTGGAGCGGCAGGTAGGGCCCGAGGTGAGGGTGGGTCACTTGCATAGCGCCCCTCCAAGCCCCAGCTCATCTTCCTGCTCTGCCTGCAGCTGATGCTCCTGTCAGAGGAGAAGCAGAGCCTGGCGCAAGAGAATGCAGCGCTGCGGGAGCGGGTGGTCCAGCCTGAAGGCGAGGGTACCCCAGGTCTCACTGCCAAGAAGCTGCTGCTGCTGCAGTCACAGCTGGAGCAGTTGCAGGAGGAGAACTTCAGGTGGGGTCAGCTGGGGACTGGGCCAGGGAAGTCAGCGGACAGGGGTGAGGGCAGCCCCCTCATGTGCCCTTTCCCTACCACCCCCAGGCTGGAGAGTGGCAGGGAGGATGAGCGCCTGCGCTGTGCTGAGCTGGAGCGGGAGGTTGCCGAGCTGCAGCACCGGAACCAGGCGCTGACCAGCTTGGCCCAGGAGGCACAGGCCCTCAAGGATGAGATGGACGAGCTGCGGTGAGTGGTGGGTTCCTGGGTCCCCACCATGGGGGCGGGGGAGAAACCTGTCGCCAGAGTTCCCCTCTGATGCCATAGCAGCTCTATAATTTCCCTATACCCAGAGAACCCCCAATTTGCCCCAGACTCCACAGTGCCACCCAGAGCCCTACAGAATGCCCAAGGCCACATTGCACTGTCCTGAACTCTACCATATCCCCTGAACCCTATACTGTCCCCTCTCATCTTATCTCACATTATGCTTCCAAGACCCTATAGCATCCCTGTGGTCCCCCAAACACAGGAATCTCCCCCACAATGCTCTGCAGACCCCACTGCACCATTTGGGCTTCATAATGTCCCTGGATCCCATGGTACCTTCTAGGACTCCACAATGCAATTACTTTGCAACCCCTTTTGACTCTACTGTGCCTTCTGTAACCACAAAGGGCTCCATTGGGCCCCCATAGCACCCCTGTAATGTAAAAGTCTCAGTGCACAACCCCATTGCACTTCTTCTTTTTTTTTTTTTTTAAAGATGGGGTTTCACCATTATGGCCAGGCTGGTCTTGAACTCCTGACCTCAGGTGATCCACCCACCTCAGCCTCCCAAAGTGCTAGGATTACAGGCGTGAGCCACCGCGCCCAGCCACCCCATTGCACTTCTAAAGGACCCCATAGTGCTCTTGTCCTACAGCTCCCCCAATGACCCCAAAGTGTCCTTGGCAGATGCTCAGACCTCTCCAGGCCCCTCATCACTACCCCTATGATCCCACAACCCTGTGTATGCCCACAATTCCACCCTAGAGGATCCCTGATTTTACCCCTGGGCTAACCATTGCTGTAACGACTCCCAACAGCACCAGTTCCTGGGTTGACCCCTGACACTCGACTTTCATGACCCCTTCACCTTGAACCCAAACACCTCGGACTGAACACCCTCTTCTGCGCCAAGGGCCCCTCCCAGCTGACCCTTTATCTAAGCTCCCAGCCCGATCCCCTCCCCTCCCCATCCCCCAGGCAGTCCTCGGAGCGTGCTGGGCAGCTGGAGGCCACGCTGACCAGTTGCCGGCGCCGCCTGGGCGAGCTGAGGGAGCTGCGGCGGCAGGTGCGGCAGCTGGAGGAACGCAACGCCGGCCACGCCGAGCGCACGCGGCAGCTGGAGGAGGAGCTGCGTCGGGCCGGCTCCCTACGCGCGCAGCTGGAGGCTCAGCGGCGGCAGGTGCGGTGGGGGCGGGATTAGGGCCGGGTCCCCGCCCCCTAGCAGCGAGTCCCTTCCCATTGGCCCTCCCTCCGCGCTCCCTGAGCCCATCCCTCACTTGTACATAGGCCGCGCCCTCCAGGCCTCATCCCTCCACCCAGGCTGCTCTTCTGTATGGGTTTGTAAGCTTTCCCTTAAGTACCTCTCCCCTAAATTCTTTGAGGCCAGTACTTCTGGTCCCGCCCCTTCACCATGCTATTCGATTTACTTCGGGTTACCCATGTAACAAAAACTCGTCATAAACTGAAAATATCCTAAAATGCATTGAAAGGCCAGGCCTGGTATTCCAGCGCTTCGGGAGGCTGAGGCAGGAGGATCACTTGAGCCCAGGATTTCGAGGTTGTAGTGACCTGTGGATGTATCACTGCATTCCAGCCTGGGTGACAGGCTGAGACCCTGCTTCAAATAGAAAGTCCAGGTGTGGTGGCTCGCCAAGGCAGGCACTCCATTACTCCTTCTGTAACCCCACATCACTTGAGGCCAGGAGTTTGAGACCATCCTGACAAACAGCGAAACCCCGCCTCTACTAAAAATACAAAAATTAGCCTGGCATAGTGGCGGGCGCCTATAATCTACTCGGGAAGCTGAGGCACGAGAATAGCTTGAACCTGGGAGGTGGAAGTTGCAGTAAGCCATGACTGCACCACTGCACTCCAGCCTGGGTGAGACGGTGAGACTCTGTCTCAAAAGGAAAAAAAGAGGATTGGGCGGGGGGACTCATGCCTATAATCCCAGCACTTTGGGAGGCTGAGATGGGAGATAACTTGAGGCTAGGAGTTCGAGAATAAGCCTGGTCAACATAGCAAGACCCCATCTTTTTTAAAAAATAAAAAAAGAAAATCCATTGAATATACCTTGCCTACTGAACATCACAGCTTAGCCTAGCCTACTTTAAACATGCTCAGAAAACTTGTCTTAGCCTACTTTGGCAAAATCATCTACCACAAAACCTGTTTTATAATAAGGAATCAATTATATGCAGTTTACTGAAGACCGTAATTCATTGAAATTGAAAAACAGAATGTTTGTATGGGTTCTTACTATTAACATTCACAACTGGCTGTGTGCAGTGGCTCACACCTGTAATCTCAGTGCTTTGGGAGGTTGAAGTGGGAGGATCACTTGAGGCCAGGAGTTTGAGATCAGTCAGGGCAACAGAACGAGACCCTGTCTCTACAAAAAAACAAGGAAAAAACATACACAGTTGAAACCACCATAGTAAAGTCAAAAGATTATAAGTCAAACCATCCTGGATTGGACACCATCCGTACTCAGCCCCTGCCCTTCCTTCCATCTCTGCAGTCCTCATTCCTCCCCTTTCCGTGTTCAGGTGCAGGAACTGCAGGGCCAGCGGCAGGAGGAAGCCATGAAGGCTGAGAAATGGCTATTTGAATGCCGTAACCTGGAGGAAAAGTATGAGTCGGTGACAAAGGAGAAAGAGGTGAGGCTGGGGTCCCACTGCCCAACCCCACCCTGCCAATCCTGGCATTTCCCAGAAGATTGAGCCTGGCCCGTGTGGTGTCTTGTTCCCTGTCCCTGCAGCGGCTGTTGGCGGAGAGGGACTCCTTACGGGAGGCCAATGAAGAGCTGCGCTGCGCCCAGCTGCAGCCGCGGGGGATGACCCAGGCGGGTGAGATGAAGCCCCATCCCCAGGCCTTGCCTGTCCTGGGGTACTGTTTGGGCAGAACAGGTTGTGTCTCACGGCATGTCTAGGCTGGGGACAGAGCTAGGCCAGGCTGGAGGTGACCAGAAAGAGGTGACACGGTCAAATTGAAGAGAGAGGCTCATGGGCTCAGGGAGGAGCAAAGGCGAAAAACCCGGGCCAACCATCACTGTTCTCTATCAAGCCTTGGATGGGGCTTGTGTCAAGTCAGGCTTTTGGCTGAACTTGAGCCCCAAAAGATGATCGTTGGAAAGAAGACCCTAGGGGTGGGGACAGGGGATGCGAAGAGACCTGAAGACTTTTCTCGCTTTCTTCAGACCCCTCAATGGATGCCACCTCCCCAGCCGTGGATAACTTAGCCGCGGAGATCCTTCCTGCAGAGCTCAGGTACCCTGGGGTCACTCAAAACTCTGGCCCCACCCAGGCCTGCCAAGGCCTGCCCTCAGCCCCGCCCCCGCCCTCCTACCTTCCACTAGCCCACGTTTCTTGGTCTCAGCTCCAGGTCCTAGCTGGGCTCCTAGGCTCACTTACTCCTAATTTGGCTTTTACCTACCCACGGCCCTCGCCCTACCAGACGACTTTGCCTCTCCAGGGTCTATCCTTAGTACACAAATTACATCGAACACCTGTTTCCACTTCCTGCGCAAAAATCCTATGCCCTAACCCCGCTGACTTTGATCGCATCTCTCAGGGTCCAGCCCTGTCAGTGAGTTTCTTTTTCTTTCTTTTTTTTTTTTTGAGACAGAGTCTTGCTCTGTCGCCAGGCTGGAGTGCAGTGGCGCGATCTCCACTCACTGCAACCTCTGCCTCCCAGGTTCAAGCAATTCTCCTGCCTCAGCCTCCCGAGTAGCTGGGACTACAGGCACACGCCACCACGCCCAGCTAATTTTTGTATTTTTAGTAGAGGCGGGGTTTCACCACGTTGGCCAGGATGGGCTCGATCTCTTGACCTCGTGATCCGCCCGCCTCGGCCTCCCAAACCCGGCCTGCCTCTGAGTTTCAATCCCCTCTGCCCTGCCTGGATTAAGTCTCCCACCCCAGGCCAGGCACGGTGGATCACGATTCTAAATCCTAGCACTTTGGAAGGCCAAAGCGGGAGGATCACTTGAGCCCAGGATTTCAAGAGCATCCTGGGCAACATAGTGGCCCTCTCTACGAAATAAAAATGATTTGAAAAACCCCAAAACAGCCAGGCGCGGTGGCTCACGCCTGTAATCCCAGCACTTTGGGAGGCTAAGGGGGGCGGATCACCTGAGGTCGAAACCAGCCTGGCCAAAATGGCGAAACCCGTCTCTACTAAAAATACAAAAATGAGCTGGGCATGGTGGCGCATGCCTGTAATCCCAGCTAGTCAGGAGGCTGAGGCAGGAGAATCACTTGAACCTGAGAGGCGGAGGTTGCAGTGAGTCGAGATCGTGCCACTGCACTCCAGCCTGGGTGACAGAGGGAGACTCCGTCCCCCTCCCCCCAAAAAAACCCAAAAACAAACAAACCCATAAAACTCTCCCATCCTAGTTCTTCCCATTCCTGCTTCCCGCTTTCCCACAGCCGCATCCCAGCTGTGCGAATCTGCTCTTGTAGCTCCGCCCTTGCCTAGCTCCACCCCCTGCCCCAGCTTAGAGCTCCGCCCACTTCAACCCTGGCCGGGGAGCCTTAGCCCCTTGTAGGTCCTCGGTGGTCCTACCCCATGGTCTGGCTGGGCTCTTCCCCAGGGCTCTGTCCCGCCCCAGCTTCGCCCGCCCGGAGCCCCAGTGGGCCTGCGGAGTGACTTGTCCCTGGCGCTGCTCTCTCCTCTCGGGTCTGCAGGGAGACGCTCCTGCGGCTTCAGCTGGAGAACAAGCGGCTGTGCCGGCAGGAGGCGGCCGACCGGGAGCGGCAGGAGGAGCTGCAGCGCCACCTGGAGGAGGCCAACCGCGCACGCCACGGGTTGGAGACGCAGCACCGGTGAGAGCTTGGGGATCCTGCGAAGTGCGGGGACAGAGGGGGCTGAAAGCGGGTACAGGCACTAAGCGGCCCCCGACCCTCGCAGGCTGAACCAGCAGCAGCTATCCGAGCTGCGGGCCCAGGTGGAGGACCTGCAGAAATCCCTGCAGGAGCAGGGGGGCAAGACTGAAGACGTGAGTACCCCCCACCACCTCCCCGCCTGGCCCTCCCTCGTGCCCCGAAGTAACCCTCCTCTCTCTTCCATGCTGCCCGATGCCCTATACAGGCCATCGTAAGTATCATGGGCCCAGAGTGGCACCCCTACCCTCACCCTGGAAGGAGGAGTTAGGGCCTCTCTGGACCCCCCATTCACCTTGCCTCTTCTCTCCCCCAGTCCATCTTGCTGAAAAGGAAGCTGGAGGAGCATCTGTAAGTTGCAGAAAGAGGGCATTCCTGGTGGGGGCATGGATTCGACATTAGTGGGGAGTTTCTTAGGCGTGTGCCACCACACCTGGCTAATTTTTTATATTTTTAGTAGAGACGGGGTTTCACCATATCGGCCAGGCTGGTCTCGAACTCCTGACCTCAGGTGATCCACCCCCTTTGGCCTCCCAAAGTGCTGGGATTACAGGCATTAGCCACCACACCCAGCCTTCTTTCTTTTCTTTTTTTTTTTTTAAACAGAATCTCACACTGTCACCAGGCTGGAGTGCAGTGGTGCCATCTCGGCTCACTTTGACCTCCCCCTCCGGAGTTCAAGCAGTTCTCCTGCCTCAGCCTCCCAAGTATCTGGGACTACAGGCACACACCACCGCATTGAGATAATTTTTGTGTTTTTAGTAGAGACAGGGTTTCACCATGTTGGCCAGGATGGTCTCGATCTCTTGACCTCGTGATCTGCCTGCCTCGGTTTCCCAAAGTGCTGTGATTACAGATGTGAACCGTGGTGCCCAGCTGCCTTCTTTTTTTTCTTTTACCTGTCTGCTATTGAAGAGATTTGTGTTCTAGAAAGGTCTCTGGCTGCTGGATGGAGGGGTTGAGGGTAGAAGAGGCTAGCAAGGAATGATGGTGGCTGGACCAACTTGGGAGCTATGTGATGGGAAGAAGTGGGCAGCAGAGGGCTGTTTCAGGGACACCTGCTAAAGGTGCAGGGAAGGTTGTGGCTCTGATGGCTGAGGAGATGGTGGGACCAGGGCACACAGCCCCTAGGCATGGGAGACAGGCAGTTAGGTCTCTGTGGCCATGTAGGGGCATTTCTGGCTGACAGGGAGGGCTGTGGCTACCACTGGAATGAAAGAGAAGCCAGCTCGGAGGTCAACCCACTGTTACCCAACCCTGGTCCACAGGCAGAAGCTTCATGAGGCAGATCTGGAGCTGCAGAGGAAGCGGGAGTACATTGAGGAGCTGGAGCCGCCCACTGACAGCCCCAGTAAGTGGGACCTGGCAACCAGAGGGTGGGGAGAGCCCAGAGCCCAACAGTGTGGAGCTGACAGGACACGTCTTCTGCCAGCAGCCCGGCGGATCGAGGAGCTGCAGCATAGCCTGCAGAAGAAGGACGCGGACTTGCGGGCCATGGAGGAGCGATACCGTCGCTACGTGGACAAGGCCCACATGGTGAGGACACTGGGTGTTCCCACAAGTTGCCTGCCCTGGCTCCCAGTCTTTTGTGCCTCCCATTGAGTCAAAACTTCTGCTTGGACGTCTGTGCCCCCAGCTCCCACCTGTCATACCCCACCATGTGATAGACCCCACTGCCACTGATTGTCACATTAAAATACTGCACAGCCGGCCAGGCGCCATGGCGCACGCCTGTAATCCCAGCTCTTTGGGAGGCCGAGGATGAGGTCAGGACTTGGAGACCACCTTGGCCAACATGATGAAACCCAGTCTCTACCAAAAATACAAAAATTAGGCCAGGCGCAGTGGCTCACGCCTGTAATCCCAGCGCTTTGTGAGGCTGAGGCGGGTGGATCATGAGGTCAGGAGATCGAGACCATCCTGGCCGTGGTGAAACCCCATCTCTACTAAAATACAAAAATTAGCCGAGCATGGTGGCAGGTTGCTTGTAATCCCAGCTACTCAGGAAGCTGAGGCAGAGAATTACTTGAACCTGGGAGGTGGAGGTCGCAGTGAGCTGAGATCACGACACTGCACTCCAGCCGAGGTGACAGAGTAAGACTCCGTCTAAAAACAAAAACAAAAACTAGCTGGGCATGGTGGTGGGCACCTGTAATCCCAGCTACTTGGGAGGCTGAGGCAGGACAGTCATTTGAACCTGGGAGGTGGAGGTTGCAGTGAGCCGAGACTATGTCATTGCACTCCAGCCTGGTGACAGGGTAAGACTGTCTCAAACAAACAAACAAACAAAAATACTGCACAGCCAGGCACAGTAGCTCATGCCTGTAATCCCAGCACTTTGGGAGGCTAAGGTGGGTGATCACTTGAGGTCAGGAGTTCGAGACTAGCCTGGCCAACATATAAAAACCTGTCTCTACTAAAAATAGAAAAACTAGCCAGTGTGGTGGCACGTGCCTATAATCCCAGCTACTCAGGAGGCTGAGGCAGGAGAATAGCTTGAATCCGGTAGGCAAAGGTTGCAGTGAGCTGAGATTGCGTCACTTCACTCCAGCCTGGGAACAGAGCCAGACTCCATCTCAAAAATAAAAATAAACAAAATAAAGTACTGTACAGCTGGGCACAGTGGCTCATGCCTGTAATCTCAAGACTTTGGGAGGCTGAGGCAGGAGGATTGCTTGATGCCAGGAGTTCAGGACCATCCTGGGTGACATAGGGGGACTCTGTCTCTATAATGAATGAAAGAATGAATGAGGCCAGGTGTGGTGGCTCACACCTGTGATCCCAGCACTTTGAGAGGCTGAGGTGGGTGGATCACAAGGTCAGGAGTTCAAGACCAGCCTGACTAACATGGTGAAACCTCATCTCTACTTAAAATACAAAAATTAGTCAAGCATAGTGGCAGGCACCTGTAATCCCAGCTATGCAGAAGACTGAGGCAAGAGAATCGCTTGAACCCGGAAGTTGCAGTGACCTGAGATTGTGCCACTGCACTCCATCCTGATTGACAGAGTGGGACTCTGTCTCAAAAAAAGAAAAAAAAAGAATGAATGAATATACACACCCATGTGTCCCAGGGGGTTTCAAGGCCAAAGTCACCTGGCTGTAACTTCCCCAACCTGTAGGTTATGCAGACCCTGGAACCGAAGCAGCGGCCAGCTGCCGGGGCACCCCCAGACCTTCACACTCTGAGGACAAAGCTCCGAGAACGGGATGTCCGCATCCGGCACCTGGAGGTGGGTGTCCTCGTCCCTTTATGCTGCCTCCAGCATATCCAGGTCCCTGAAACTTGCCTCCTTGACAGATGGACTTTGAGAAAAGCCGAAGTCAGCGGGAGCAAGAAGAAAAGCTGCTCATCAGTGCCTGGTGTAACATGGTGAGTATGAGGTCTGGGCTCTAAGATCTCATGGGTAGAGTATTTTAGGGGTCCTGTGGGCTCACCTGATCCCAACTGCACCTCCTCCTGAAGGGCATGGCCTTGCAGCAGCGAGCCGGGGAAGAGCGGGCACCTGCCCATGCCCAGTCGTTCCTAGCACAGCAGCGGCTGGCAACCAATGCTCGCCGTGGACCCCTGGGACGCCTGGCATCTTTGAGCCTTCGCCCCACCGACAAGCACTGACAGACCTCATGATCCAGCCAGCCAGGGCTGCATCCACCCTGGCTTCCTCCAACTCACGTGGCGCCCAGCATCAGGCTTCAGCCAGCGGCTTGAGAGCCTTGAGGTCATGACCTCCACCCTTCGCTCTCCCAGATTGGTGGGGAGGGAGGGCGGGAGGTAGATATAGGACTGTTCATTTTAGCAATGTGATTCTTATCGTTGATTCTCTCTGGAGTTCATGTGCTGCCTAGGGAGAGTCTGATTTTATATTTGAGAAAAATAAAGACTTTCAATCTTTGGCTGTGCTCTGGGCACCATGGTAAGGGAAAGTGGGCCAGGGGATCAGCCCATTGCTTTTAAGAAAAGGTTGATTTGGCTGGGCATGGTGGCTCATACCTGTAATCCCAGCACTTTGGGAGGCTGAGGCAGGCAGATCACAAGGTCAGGAGTTTGAGAACAGCCTGGTCAATGTGGTGAAACCCCATGTCTACTAAAAATACAAAAATATTTAGCCAAGCATGGTGGCAAATGCCTGTAATCCCAGCTACTTGGGAGACTGAGGCAGGAGAATTGCTTGAACCCGGGAGGCAGAGGTTCAAGGCAGAGGCAATGAGCTGAGACTGCTCCACTGCACTCCAGCCTGGGCAACAGAGCAAGACTTTGTCTCAAAAAAGGAAGGCTAAGGTAGGAGAATGGCTTGAGCCAGAAAGGTGGAGGCTGCAGAGTAGAGATCAAGCAACTGCACTCCTGTTTTAGACGAAAATGTCTGCCTTCATGAAGCTGAGGGTAGACAGGCCGACATTAAAGTAGATAAAACAAAAGCTTGATATGAGAAGAAATATCACAGAGGAAAATAAAGCTGCAATAAGTGATGGGGTTAGAAGTGGTAGACTTGGGAGTTGTCAATTTATAATAAACGGCCAGAGGCTGGGCACCATGGCTAAAACCTGTAATCCCAGCACTTTGGGAATCTGAGGTGGAAGTATCTCTTGACCACAGGAGTTCCAGACCAGCCTGGGCAACATACTGAGACCTCGTCTGTACAAAAATTTTAAAAATTAGGGGTGGTGGGGTGGCTCATGCCTGTAATCCCAGGACTTTGGGAGGCCGAGGTGGGTGGATCACCTGAGGTTGGGAGTTTGAGACCAGCCTGACCAACATGAAGAAACCCCATCTCTACTAAAAACAAAAACAAAAAATTAGCTAGGCATGGTGGTGAACTGTGGTTATAGCTACTCAGGAGCCTCAGGTGGGAGGATTGCTTGAACCTGGGAGGTGGAGGCTGCAGAGAGCTGTGATTGTCCCACTGCACTCCAGCCTGGGCACCAGAGCGAGACTCCATCTCCAAAAAAAAAAAAGCCAGGAAAGGAGGCCTCATCAAAGAAGTGACATCAGTGAAGGAGAGACCTGAGGGAGAGGCCATGTAGGTATCTGGGGAAGATCCAGGCAGAACAGTTTGTGCAAAAGCCGTGAGGTGAGAGCTTGCTTGATGTGCTAGAGGAACAGTAAGGGGCCATAGTGGAGTGGAGTGAATGAGAAAGCAGATGAGGGTGGGGAGATTATTCAGGGATTTGTGAGCTGCAGAGAGTACTTTAACTTTTTTTTTTTTTTTTTTTTTAAGACTGGGTTTCACTAGGCGTGGTGGCTCACGCCTGTAATCCAAGCACTTTGGAGGCTAAGGCAGGCAGATCACCTGAGGTCGGGAGTTTGAGATCAGCCTGACCAACATGGTGAAACCCTGTCTTTAAAAAAAAAGAAAAAAGAAAAAAAACTGGGTTTCACCATATTGGTCAGGCTAGTCTCGAACTCCTGTCCTCAAGAATCCACCCGCCTTGGCCTCCCAAAGTGCTGGGATTACAGGTGTGAGCCACCGCTCCCAGCCTGTACTTTAACTTTTATCCTAAGTGTAGTGGGAGCCATGGAAGATTCTAAGCAAGGAGGGATGTGACCTGACTCGGGTGTTCGTAGGCGCCCTCTGGTGGCCACTCTGAGAGAAACAGGCTTAGGAGGCCAGGGCCAGAGCTGGAAGACCAGGTTGGTAGTCCATGTGGGTGGGTGGGTGATAGTGAAGGTTCTGGCCAGGTTGGGAGCCCTGGAGTGAGAAATGGTTGGATTCTAGATACGATTTAATGGTAAGGCTGGCAGGGTGCAGTGGCTCACACCTGTAATCCCAGCACTTTGGCCAACATGATGAAACCCCATCTCTACTAAAAATAAAAATTTACTGGGTGTATTGGCAGGCACCTGTAATCCCACCTACTTGGGAGGCTGAGGCAAGAGAATCACTTGAATCTGGGAGGCAAGGGTTGCAGTGGGCTGATTGCGCCGTTGCACTCCAGCCTGGGTGACAAGAGCGAAACTCCATCTCAAAAATAAAAAAAAATAATTAAGGCAAAGCTGATAGGATTTGCTGCTGGGTTGGTGTGGCCACTGGGTTGATGTGATAGCCTGTGACAGGAAGAGAAATCCACATAACTACTTTTGACCTCATCACCTGGAAGGACACAGCTAACACACAGGGTTGGGCAGGCTGGGGAGTTGATTAGGAGCTGGATTTCAAGTGTGTTAGGTTTGAAGTGCTTGCGAGATTTCTGCAAGGAGACATCTAAGAGGCAGTTGGCTTTCTGGGTCTACAGTTAGAGAAGGGATCCTGGCTGGATTTCTTCCTTCTTTTCCTTTTCTTTCTTTTTTTTCTTTTTGAGATTTTTTTTTTTTTGAGATGGAGTCTTGCTCTGTCTCCAGGCTGGAGTGCAGTGGCGAAATCTTGGCTCATTGCAACCTCTGCCTCGCAGATTCAAGCAATTCTCCTGCCTCAGCCTTCTGAGTATGGTCTCAATCTTCTGCCCTCGTGATCCACCCACCTCAGCCTCACAAAGTGCTGGGATTACAGGCATAAGCCACCGCACCCAGACTTTCTTTTCTTCTTTAGACGGGGTCTCACTCTGTTGCCCAGGCTGGAGTGTAGTGACACAATCTCAGCTCACTGCAACCCTCGCCTCCCGGATTCAAGCAATTCTCCTGCCTCGGCCTTCCGAGTATCTGGGATTACAGGCATGTGCCACCACACCCAGCTACTTTTTTTTTATTTTAGTAGAGATGGGGTTTCGCTATGTTGGCCAGGCCTGTCTCAAACTCCTGACCTCAAATGATCCACCTATCTCTGCCTCCCAGCTGGGATTACAAGCATTAGCCCCACCACGGCAGGGCCTTTTTTTTTTTTTTCTCTTTTTTTTTTTTTAGACAGGGTCTTACTGTGTTGCTCAGGCTGGAGTGCAGTGGTGAGATCACAGCTCACTTCCTTAGCTGGACTTTTATATTCAGGAGTCATCAGTTCATATGATTAAATTAGTAAGACCTAAAGCCCTGAAGGCCTGAGAATGCAGAGGCTTGGGACAAGAAGAAGCCATGATCCTGGGACAGTGGCTGGCTCATTAATAAGTAATGCCAGGGCACTGATGTGGGTATTTTCAGAGAGCAGAGCTAGGGAAGAAGTAAGCAGGGCACCATTATAAAAGCTGGAAGAGCCGGGCGCGGTGGCTCAAGCCTGTAATCCCAGCACTTTGGGAGGCCGAGGCAGGTGGATCACGAGGTCAAGAGATCGAGACCATCCTGGTCAACATGGTGAAACCCCGTCTCTACTAAAAATACAAAAAATTAGCTGGGCATGGTGGTGTGTGTCTATAATCCCAGCTACTCAGGAGGCTGAGGCAGGAGAATTGCCTGAACCCAGGAGGTGGAGGTTGCGGTGAGCCGAGATCGCGCCATTGCACTCCAACCTGGGTAACATGAGTGAAACTCCGTCTCAAAAAAAAAAAAAAAAAAAGCTGGAAGAGGTGAAACCCCATCTCTACTAAAAATACAAAAAGTTGGTCGGGTGCTGTGGCTCACGCCTGTAATCCTAGCACTTTGGGAGGCCGAGGTGGGTGGATCACCTGAGGTCCAGAGTTCAAGACCAGTTTGGCCATCATGGTGAAACCCCACCTTTAAAAAAAAAATACCAAAAGTTAGCCAGGCGTGGTGGTGTGCACCTGTTATCCCAGTTACTCGGGAGGCTGAGGCATGAGAATCACTTGAACCTGGAGGTGGAGGTTTCAGTGAGCCAAGATCGTACCACTGCACTTCGGCCTGGGTGGCAAAGTGAGACTTTGTCTCAAAGAAAAAAACAAGCCTGGAATAAGCTCTGCTTGGTGGTTGTGGTGGAGGAGGAGGAAAGAGAGGAAAAGGAGGAGAAAGAAGAAGAAAGAAGAAACCTGCAAGAACTCCCAAATCTTACTTAGCATAATGCCTGCCAGGAGAAATCAGACTAACAACATTTGAGTAAAAACCACTAGCAATTTATTGAGCATCTACTGTATACCAAATGCTTTAATGTCATTCTTTCATTTCATCCTCACGAAAGCTCCATGAGGTAGTCACTCACATCGCCACTTGAAGGAAAGAATTCAGGCAGGACAATGACGGAGACCTCTCAAGCAGTGGGGGTTGGGAAGGAGGGCTGGTGGTCAGGGTGGGCTGGTCCAAGAGTCTGGAAGAACCCCCGCCCCAGCACAGTGCCAAACCCCAGCGGGCTGCGAGAGCTGGTCAAAAGTGCAGGTGGACTTGACGAAGGTATACGAGGCTTATCCAGACCTGGACTCCTGCCTGTGTGCCCTGCAGGGACCTGGTTCGCTGTCCTTAGGGGGGCTGGGCTCTTAGATTTCAGGCCAGATTCTCCTCCTCCTCGCCGATAGGGCTGGGCAGCCAGGGTGGTGCCGGACCCCGGGGCCCGGGCACGGTCACGGTGGTAAAGGGCTCGGCAGGCCCAGGGATGAGGCCAAGCGGTTCAGGACCCGCAGGGGGCGGGGGCGGGGGCTCGGGCTCTGGCAGGCCGGGGTCGAGCGGCGGGTCCCTGCAGCTGCACTCCGGGGCCGCGCCTTCGGGGACAACCGCGCATGAGCAGCTGGCCCCAGTAGACGCCTCCGACACGCAGCTGTTCTTGCGGAGTAGAAAGGACAGGCGCCGGCCCAGCGGGCCTCCCCCGGCCATGCCCGCGCCCGCCGGCAGGAGGCGCTGCAGGAAGTCGCCGGGCGCCTCGCCAACCGGCCCATCCAAGCCGTCCAGCCTCTGGAACTGCATGTCTTCTTTGGCCAGCCTGCGGGACGGACAGTGGGGTGAGCCAGCGCTGCGGTCTCGCCTTTTGTTGACAGAGCGGGGTCCCAGGCTTTCAGATTTCCCTGACTCCACCGCCCCTTTGTCCCACTTATCCCCAAAGACCTTAGCTCCTAAACCCAGAGCCTCGCCTCACCCTCTGTTTCCACTT